TACCGACTGCCAAATGGTAAAACTTATGACATTCAATGACTTGTTTTCGTCACTACCACGTTAGAGACTTTTAAACAAGGAATGATGACGACGGCTATCACGTTTTCCCGCCAAAATGACTCGGGTTCACGCACGCACATTACTTAGTATTGAGAATATCTCCCTCTCGTAGTCGTCCTCGTCTCAGAATCTAAGGCATATTGTGTTGGAGTGGTCACAATAGTCTTTTATTGCCCACTTACCCGCAAGTGTTGAAAGCGTAGGACAACTGGCTCGTTCAACTTGGCTAGGTGCCTTGGACTGACATTGATAACGGTGACGACGAAAATTATGGAATTCAATCTGCTGTCGCTTGAGCTTAAATGCGAAAAAAAAAAGACAAAACGAAAATTAATCAAATAACGTGCAACTTATTTTGCAACATTGCTGCAAAACGTGTTTGATGGCAATGTTGCGAGTTGTTGTATCCGCCTGAAGCAGACGCGGATAGAAGCCCATAGAACGTGTTGGACGATCCAAACTCATTCAGAAGAACGTAATTCAGCCAGACGTCAAAAATTTCCATGAACTTAACTCAATAAGTTTGGTTCGTCTCATGAAACGTTCTATGTCCTTACGCCCATAGCAGCACAGCAAATATTGTAAGCCTGGTAAGTTGGTTTTAATGTATTTTACCTTTCTCCAACTGTATCGTTAGATAAAATGTTCTTCACTCCTTTAAGAAGAGCCACAGAAATACCCACCGTATCTGTAAAGAGGGACACAGAGAGCATTTAAATTAAGGTATACATGTACATTTTTAATTGATTAAGGCAAGAGAGAATGAGCTCACTAGTCTCTCTTGATTAGGGCTTCAAAAGTGAGAAATGCTTCAATATAGGTCAAATGTATGAATCCTACCCAGTTCTCCACTTGGAGACAAAGAAATGACGATGACGATTACCATGACGATAACGATAACGATGAGGATGATGATGATGATGATGACGACGATGATAACGAATAAATATGGAACATAAAACACCTCTTTTGCCGTAGAGTGCGTTAAGGTTCAGAAGTAAAAAGCACAAAGGCATTTTTCAAGGGCTGTTTGGGCGTAGCAATCGTTTTCACGTTCACTGATCTTCACGACAGGCTTAAAAAACCGACGTTTAGAGTAATTGAAGTCGAATGGCTGCTCTTAAATAATAGAGGAAAATTATCCGTTTAATTGCTTTTAAACAAAAGAAAAAAAGTCGAATTGAAATTTAACCCCAGGTTATCGCTAATCTGCCTTCAAACAACTGGTCCATGTTGGCATGTTTACCATTGTCGTCTCTGTCTTGCACGACCGAGCCAGGAAGGTTCACAAAATTTGGTGAATCAGCTGGAATCTTCGACCCTGTATATGTCTGCCTGTTCTTAGATTTAACTTGCATATCTGAAACAAATATTTCAAAACCCAGTGGGTTATTGCGCAGCCATTATCAACTCGTGCGAAACTGATGCGTGCATGACAATCAAATACAAGCGTGAGTTCAAGATGGCTGGTGTTTTATGGACCTTGACGAAGCCGAGGTCATTGAAAACATAAAAAAAAGAACGAGGCCAATATCTAGCCATCGTGACGGGGCAAGCTAGGTCAATGAATGATTTACTAAATGGTCGAAAAGAAGGTTTTTGCACGCGGGACCAGCGCGGGAAATCTCGAGCTGGCAAGATGGGCCCAGCGAAGATAAACCTGATTTACTACTTAAACATTCACTTTGTAAGACATAAACCGACAGGACCCAAACAAAGCGGGGTAGTAGCCGTTTATAACCGCTATCTGATTGGCTATCTGTCCGCTCGGATAGCCAATCAGAATAGAGCATTCGCTTCAACTTACCCGCTAGCGGATTTAGCCTTCTAACAAGTTGTCTTATTACTCTTGTTCCCTAGTCTCTCATACGCGCGTGATCATAGTGCTACCTGAAATACAAAACTTTCCAACTGCTGCCCACTTTAAGCTAAACTATTTTCTCTTTTACCTAAATTTTCAGTAGATACGATCACATCCAGCTGTCCGCTGTCTGTTTCCTTATCCAGTGAGCTAATCACAGCTGTTACAGCTTTTTCTAAAATGTTTGTGATGACATTGATTGGTGTAGTTCCCTAAAACGTACAGAACATAAGTAGTAGATTCAACATAAAATCAGTGCTGGTGTTAGAATTGGAGAATAAGTGAAGGTAATAGGACTGAGTGGAGTACAGTTCAGGGAATAATCAGGCGACTAATTTCATCGACTGTCATTGGCTGTTCAACTGTCTGATTTGACCTGACAAATTCCAAGCACCTCGTAATCGGACAGGTCAAATTGGACAGTTCTGGTTCTGCATCAGCCAAATTAAGCAGTAAATAAGAGCTGCTGAGAACCAATCAGATTTGAGGAGTTTGTTATCGACACAATTATATTAGCAATATAATCTAAAAATGAATCTTCAAGGAGCTTAAGACGACTGGACATGCATGGGAGGCGGAGTAGAACCATTTTATGGTGAAAATGGTGTAAAAGAGCAGCGAAAGCTTTGACGCTACCGTTTTTGTCATAGAAGCGTCTCCCGCAGATTAAGGTGATTCCCTGGTTTTGCATTGCGCATCTCTTACTGCGCATAACAAGATGGCCGCCGTAAAAAAGAGCATGTGAAGTAAAACTATTAAAATGAGGTTGACTGAAGAGAAACGCTATTGGAATTTTTGCTTGCTGTTGTTTCTTGCCGAGGTGAGACTTTATGTGTTGGGAATGTGCATAACGTAATTAGCACGCGAGTTGCTGAGTTCGACTTCCTCTCGGAAAACCTCGATAGTAGATGTTTAACTTGTGCTTACTCACTTTGATTTTCATTTAAATGCTTTCTTTATCAAATTGTGTCCTAAATGTGATATCTCGATGTAAATTCTGTAAAAACTGATTTTTTAATACTTTCTTCCCCCTTTCACATACATTCTATTTTGACACTCGCCCCAGTCCTCTTTCAAAAATCGGAGAAAATGCATTCGGTGCGCACTTTCTGCAGCTCTACCGCAAGAACGAGTACGGTGACCCCCATTTTTTATTTCATTATTTTAATAAGGACAGTGCTTCCTTTCGATGAGAAAAAAATTGGCACAAATCTTTGATCAGTTTTTTGGCAATTTTACTAAATTGTACGGATTGAGCTATCACGGGTCGAATAGCGCGTGTCCAATTTAATTCTACTTTGTGGCGTAAAGTAAAAACAAGGGCATTACAAGGCATTTTTCTGGTACGTAAGTAGATAAACAATACGTTAAAGTCAAATTCTGTGTGATACCACATGCATCATCGAAAAAAAACTCTCCTTTTTGTCTAGTTTTGGGCTGCCCGCGGTTATTGTAAAAGGGTCCTAAATAGCCGTATTTGTCAGCATTATGACGTCAAAACGAGTACGGTGACCCCCACTTTTTATTACTTTTTTATCATCTTCTTGACTTGTTACATCAATGTAGCAAGTTTCATGTACAATCTATGTTACGTTCTTTTACTAGGGAATTACCTTAAAAACATTGATGTATAAAATTAAAAGTTAATCGGATAGTAAGTGCATTCTTTGTCCACTGTGGTAAAATGCTAAATTATTGTGAGCGATGCCAAAGGGCTTTCTTGAGTCATGTTGCAACGCTGTGTTGTGCTAAAAATCGTTGTTGCGAATCGTCCTGTGTAACATATGTTCGCCAGCAATTATATTTCCCATGACTCCCTATACGGTAATGAATTCTTCTCTACATGGAGAAATCACCATCGCAGTTGTACTCACATTTAAGCTGTTGCAAATTAAGGCTGAATAATACTAAGGACTTCAACGGGATTCGAAGGCGCTATGTTCGAAAAGAGTACACACCAACAGACCAAGGAAATGAGGTGATGGCGTCACAATTTATTTTTCTCTTTTTAGCGCGCGCAATTTTCCTAGAAACTTCCGCGGAAATAGACTTCAAAAACTGTCGATGTTAAAGTTGTCTTATCGACCATAGAAATGACGTCAAAATGTTCAAAACTCAAGAGGAACCACGAGCTGCATTCCATGGTCTATAAAGGCTTGTTTTCACTCGCGACGGAGTCGGAGTCGGAGTCGTAATCAGAAGCGTAGAGCTTATGATCTAGTGAGAACAGCGTTCCGATTCCGCTTACGACTCCGTCGCTTACATTCCGCTTATGATCTAGTGAAAACCAGATTGTCGGAGTCGGAAGCAGAAGCAGAAGAACCAAACCAATCACAAAGCGTGGGAACGTGCATTGTGATTGGCTTATCCTTCGGCTTCTGCTTCCGACTCCGACAATCTGGTTTTCACTAGATCATAAGCGGAACGTAAGCGACGGAGTCGTAAGCGGAGTCGGAAGAAAATGGAAACGTTCTGATTCTTCTGACTCCGATTCCGTCGCCCTTATGACCTCGCTTACGACTCCGATTTTTGATTTTCACTCGGTCATAAGCGCTTTTACGACTCCGCTTACGACTCCGACTCCGAGTGTTTAATGTTTGATTAATTATCATTGTAATAATGCCCATCCATGATGAAAGAAAGGTTCACCTCTTCCTCCTTCAGCTTTCTCCAGGACGACTCTCTTTCTTTTGTCATTAACAAACTGAACATCACAGTTACGGTCTGTAAAAAAAGACATATCTGTTCAGTTATTAAAAAGTAAGGAACGAAAGCACTATAAACAGAAGAAAGAACTATGACATCACCAAAATTTAAATTCGTGAAATTATGGGATTGACTGATTTATTAAGAGAGAGCACGATGAAAACTGTCCATTGGAGGAAATTCAGCTTGTTGGAGCAAATTGGTGGTGAGATATAAGCAGTGTTGGCTCCGTGTAAATCCTTCTAGAATTGACCTTGATCGTAAGCGGTAAGACCTATGCCTGTTTTAGAAGGATTTGTATGGAGCCATGATAAAAAAGTGGCTTATATCTCACCAACAATTTGCAATAGCAACTTTATTTTGACAAGTCGACGTTTTTCATCTTGTTCTTTCTGATTAGCCTGCCCAATGGAATAATTTCTCTTTGTGATATCATCACTTCTCTAAGCCCTTTAAAGCTGTATTTAGAGTACATCGAAGGCCGATTAGCGCTTAACCCGGGGTTAAATTCAATCCGCGTTTCTTTTTCTTGTGTTCAAAAGTATTTTCTAGGTTAATTTTCTCTGTTATGTTTTGAGCTTCCAAACAACAAAATGTAGACAGAAAGAATTAAAACTGAAATGCTTTTTAAGCTTTCAAATCCGAATTCAAATCTCGCACTAACCCTGGGTTATCTTAACCCAGCTTTGAACAACTCGGCCCGGCTTTGTATTCAAAATCCCGGGCGGGGGAAGTACTGCCATATGGGCTACAAAGGGATGTGCCGCCGAGGCAGTTGTCCCTTTCTTAAACGGTCGCTGCCATTTACAAGACACTTAAATTTTTTTTGACCTATTATTGAGAGTGTTTCTTTTAAAAAGAAACAAAATCGCCACACAGGGTCGAACCCGAACCTCGAACCCGGACCTTTCGTATCCTTAACTCTCTCCCTTACCATTGCAGTACCACACCGACCCGCCAAAGTTCCAAAAAATTTAAGTACACAAACTAACGAACTATTTTCCTTAACTGATAGGTGGCCGTAAATTCAACTTGGGCTTTGACATCGTTCTTTCTAAGACTATTCAAAAACGTATCATTTGCCTCATTGTAACTTTACCCAGGGTATAAATTACTTCTAGCATGACTAAAGGCTTGGTTACCAATGATGCAATCTACCGTTAACAAAGGAATCAATAGGCGCTGCCGAAAAGGTTAATTTGGGACAGGTTAAAGAAATCAACTGGTATTTGTCCATAATGGGGCAATATTAATCTGGGTATGAAAAAGGGAGCCATTGTATTCTTGCCCCAAGCCTCTGTTTCAAAGCGACGCTAAGTGGGAAGCCATTGATATGAAAATTGGTTTTCATTCTCATGCAAATAAAACTCATTACCACGACAAAGGTTTTGCACTTAGCCTCGTTTTGAATGTAAGAGTTTTGGAACTCCCAAATGGCCTATTAGAGTTCCCTTTGCAACTGGTCTGGGGTAGGGAGGCGATTTCTGGTGCCTTGTGCAGAATTGGGAAGCATAATTGTAGATGAACATTGCAGGATTAAAGGCACACACCCAAACCCAAAAGCCTCATAGAGTATCTCCCGGGATAAAGAAAACCTTGACAATTTCTTACTGTTATCAGTTCCTTTGCTTCCTCCTGACTTGTATTGAAGTACTGAATCTTTTCTGTCAAGTTGCTCAGCACACCCAGAGTCTTGGACAGTGCCTCACTGCTCATGGTCTTTGAAACATTTACTTCCTTTAAGATAAGATTGGTTGTTTCCACGATAGTGGCAACGTCAGGAGCTTCCTAAACATCAATAGCACAACAGAGTTAACTTGGAAATGCTTTTTGATGTTTATGTTCCTTCGTTAAGGGTATTAATAGGTTTATGTTCCTTCGTTGAGGGTATTAATAGGCTAAAAGCACGATGAGGTCATTTTACTACTACGGCCAGATTCCTTTCCGTTTTTCTTTCATACTTACATTTGGAAATCCTAAAAGCCCTAATTTGCATAAGAAAGTAAAACCGTGAAGGATTCTGGTCGTAGCAATAAAATGGCGTCATCGTGCAAATGGCTTATCATGAGAAGAAATAACTAAGGGCCTGTTGACATGGAGGTGGGGGACCCTGGGTAGGTGAGGTAACATGGGGCAGGTCAACGCACTTATCACGTAAATGTGATCAAATTAAAATGAGAGATTATATGGACAGTCGGGTTATCCCACCTAAGCGGGTCACCTCACCTACTTGGGGTCCCACACCACCTTGAAATAGGCCCTAAATGTTCAAAGCTGCGGGCAATAATTTGTCTTTACTTCTGTCACCTGAGACCCTGAGTTCAATCTTCATCCTAACCGCTAACTGGATTTGTTCTCGGTAGTCCCGAGTTCAGCTCCTCGGCAACGCTTGTTTTTAGTCAACTGTTTCACCTCCAGCCAGTTGACATTCTTAACGTTTTTATGTTATTTTATTTCAATCATTTGTTTGTCTCTTTATTTGTGGGCTACAATGAGAACTAGAGCCTGTGTAAAGAGACCACCCCCCCCCCAACTCCCCCAGGAAGAATCGGGGAAGGGGTCCCTTCTCCGATTTTTCCTGAGGGGAGAGGAGGGGGGTTTAGACACAGGCTATGAGAAGTACTGGGTCACCAGATGATTGGGCTACCCCTATAAAGTCAATTTTTTTCCATCTTGCGGACTGTCTTTGATAGCGTCATCCAAGCGGCTGTCCTAAAGGTACTGGACGAGAAGGGTATTCCCGTGAAATGTTTTAGCCATCCGCCAAATTAGGGCGCGTTAATCTTTTATTAAAATGATAATGATTGTAGTTATAATTGTTCTTTTGATTTTTAATAGTGTCTGATTATGATTTGGATTCTGATGAATTTCTATTACGACAGAGCATTATAATCAACACCACAGCAAAGGACAGTCAACAACAGAAAAGAGGAACTGTGTTTGATGAGCATATAGATTGTAAAAACTCTCATACCAAGATTTTCCGTTGCCCTTCTGTGAGCGTTACTTCCAATGGCTTTTTCTCTGTGATAAAAAGTACAATAAAATCGTCAAGTCCAAAATGGTGGCACTTGATAAATGGCACTGATAGACAAAAGAAAATGAGAATTGGTCGAAGACTTTTTTCAGTTTGTGGAGGTCGTCAGGATCAAGCGCATGAACTTTAACCAAGGCCCAGTTCAAACACCGTACTTCATTCATTCAGAAGCTGATTTCTATTCCAGCACAACTAAATTCATAAGCAAAAAACGCGCATTCCAGTTTAAAATATATTATAAAAATTTATGCATCTATGCATTTCTCTGCCGTCGCGGCACGACTAAGACGTGAAACTATCTAATTTCACGTTTTCTTGAGGATACGAACACAAGACAAAGATTTACTGATTCTTTCTTTAAACTTAGATAGAGTCCTTTAGAATTCAACTCCCGATAAATTCACCAACATTGGAATTGAACAACAAACAGCAGTCGTCGTCGTCGTCGTTGGTTACGCTCCCTAGTATTTGGTTTTCTATTACCAACTCTCCTACGATTACAAAGTCGAGGAACTTGAATTATGATACGACATCTTACCTTCACAAATCATATTATCCTTATTGAACGTATAACCCATCGCGCATGTGCACTGAAAGTCTCCTGGTCTGTTAACGCAGCTGGTGCAACCCATATTACTGCTCAGTTCACACTCATCGACATCGCTACAAGTTCTTCTATCTCCTGTCAATGTAAACCCGACATAACACGAGCATATGTAACTGCCATTTGTATTCTCGCATTCTTGTTCACAAGGGTCAGCATCCTCGCATTCATTCACATCCTCACAGTCCGTGCAGTGTTTTGGACAAGAGTTGTTAGATTTGCAGCTTTCGTTGCAAAGATATCGATCGTCATCAAACTTCATTTGGTATCCTTGGAAACAAGAACAGTTGTAGTTTCCAGGCGTGTTCACACAAATCTGAGAACATCCCCCGTTATCTTGCAAACATTCGTCGACGTCAGAGCAGTTCTTCCCGTCTACAGAGAGTTGGTAACCGCTAAAACACGAGCAATTGTAGCTGCCATCAGAGTTGTTGCACTGATGTGAGCAATTGTCTAGATTGCCCTCGCATTCATCAACGTCATCGCAAGTGCCGTTGTCAATATCAAGCTTGTAACCACGGAAACAGGAGCAGTCGAATGATCCTATTATGTTCACACATAGTTGAGGACAACCTGCGTTTTCATGCAAACACTCGTCCACATCCAAGCAGGTTGTGCTGTCCGCAGAAAGTTGGTAGCCTGTGGAGCATGAGCAGTTATATCCGCCTGGAAAGTTATTGCACAACTGAGAGCAATTGTGCAGATGGAGCTGGCACTCATTTACGTCAATGCAGGTAGTGTTGTCACTTTGTAGTTGATAGCCGAGCAGACAGGAACAGTAGTATGATCCTAAAGTGTTAACGCACACCTGTAAGCAGCGTGACTGACTATTGCTACACTCATCGACATCGATACATGTCCTTCCATCGCTTCCAATCTGATAGCCTGGTTCACACAAACACTGAAAACTCCCTGGAGTATTTTTGCAGTGGAATTGACATCCTCCATTGTTGGTCAGACACTCATTAATATCATCACAGCTTGATTTATCAGGCGAAAAAGTGTAACCCGATCGGCAACTACAGTAGTAACTCCCTGGAGTGTTCACACATTCATCGGAGCACAAATATGGTTTCAGACTGCATTCATCTTTATCAATGCAAGTCAGTTTGTCTGCCGGGCTTATCGACCAGCCCTGGTTGCATAGACAGTAATAACTACCGGCACTGTTTACACAGACATGATCGCATCCGCCTTTGTTGTCGCTACATTCATCGCGGTCACTGCAAGACTTTTGGTCGCTGTTTAGCTGGTATCCACTCAAGCACGAACACCGATAACCCCCGTCTGTGTTAACACACGTGTGTTGACAATCATGCGCGCCTGATTGACATTCATTAATATCGTCACATGATTGATTGTGCCTGTTAAAAGAGTGACCGCTGTCACATGTGCATTGGCGGCACTGACAGCTAGTTTCTGTGTCGATGCAAAATGACTTGCAGCTTCCGTGAGGGATGAGGCATGTATCGTTCTTGTCACATGACTGACTATTTGGCAGATATTTCCCACAGGAACAGTTATAGTAACTTTCTTGATGTATGTCTGGTGTTTGACACATTGGATTGCTACATGGCATGAGATCTAGCGTAACAAAGGCATTACAAATATTAGTAGACAAAGTATAGTAAATGTTTTGAGGGCCTACGCAAGGATTCCAATGCAAGGCAGCATCTCAAAACAGCTTATTCACTGAAAATCAGCACGTACTGTAGGATGACTATTTATTTGCCACTTCAATTTTTGTGGCATTTATACACTTTATTTTGAGCCTAAAAACGTGCCAAACGTGCCATCTAAGACCAATATGGCTAAGGCATGAGGCTTGATGCCGAGCCACGTTGCTAATTTATTTGAGATCTGTAGTTTTTTAGTTAAAATATTGTTAAGAGTACATTTTCCCGTGATACAGTACAAGACTATAATTCATTTTGATAGTTATATACTGCTTCTACGAGAAATGAGATTATAAATAAACTGATACTGTATTGGCAGGTATATAGATGCATAAAAACGTAGGTTCAATTGCCAAAATATAGCACTATAGACAAATATGGATTAAAAATATAGCGACATGAATCTGTGCAAATTAAAATAAATTGTGCTGCCAAAATAACAAGAAAATGTCTTGATGGTTTCTTGAATAGCTAACATGTTTTATTACATGCAGCCAAACTCTAGCTCTAACAGCCACGGCGTTGTTTGCATAATTTCTACACCTATATCATAATAGTAAGATTAATGTCTGCGAGATATATATTTGCAATAGTACGGTTAATATAAATAAAGTTTTTGCAAATCTAATTTAACGGATCAAGAGCTTTGCGGGTTTAAAACTATCACTTCAGCAGATGCCGAATAACAGTCCCTTAAAATGCATATCACAACTTCAAATTTGTCTTCCAACCATCATTTTAAACGTTACACAAAAATGAACTTTGAAAAACTGTTGGGCTAACAAGTTTTCAAAAACCACAATTGCAATCCGTTTTAATCTTCTTTAAATTTGTCCATTCGTTCAACCGTTGCATTTGCTATGTTATTTATACATTCTTTTTTTTATTTTTTAAGCAGCTATTTTCTTGTTTCACTTACTTTGGTGGCATTTCCCACCGTTTGAATTTTGAAACCTTTCGTGACACAGCTCCTTTAACAATACGTGAATCAGGCGTCTAATTATAAGGGTGGGTGAACATTCAGTGGTGGATCCAGGGGAGGGGCCCGGGGGGCCGCCCCCTTATTTTTAGACCAAAAAAAATTTTAGGAGATCGGGCCTCCCACCCCACCCCCCCCTCCTGTACCCTGCCGCACCCCGCCCCGCCCCTACCCCCCCCCCCCCTCCCCCCCCCCACCCCCCCCCCCCCCGCCCCCACCCTTATCTCAAGGTCTGGATCCGGCACTTATATTTGACCTAATACGAAAGTGTGTGGGTTAAACTTCACCAGTGGCATGGGTTAAACGTTTTAACCTATGTTGGCCTTGCTCCTTTAAGCGAGGGAGGGAGGGAGGGTTTGCGTTAAGGCAAGAGACTTGTATACACCCAATCCAACATGTATAAATCTGACCACCACTGTTGCAATAGTTAAATTTCTATTTATGATACTTAAAATGGAAATATAGTGTTTTTTAATTATGACGAAAATAATGCGTATGATTTCCTCTCCATTACATTTGATGGAAACGTCTTTTAAAATTTGACCAATTATCCGTACACGAAAGAGAACTTTGAAAAACTGTTATACTAACAAGTTTTGCCATACCATTGTGACTACGCAATAAATACCAAGTAACACTATTAAAAGAGAAAATGATTACCTTCGCATGGTACTCCATGTCGCAAGTCATCAAAAGTAATGTGGCCCCAGTGTCCGACTCCATAGTCTATCAGTTTGACCTTGGCCGTTCGGCCTCTGTACTGATCCAGGTTTACTATTGTTCTTTTCATTTGTGATTGGCAGCTACCAGTCCTTGATATTATAGTGCTTCCGTTCACCAAGATTTCCATGCGAACCTTCTTGTCGTCACAGCCACCTAAAAAACGTTAGGTAAAACACCAAAAACACAATCGTCACAACACTTTGTCAATGGGCACTTTCCGAGTTACCCAAAACCCCTGCCTCAAAGCGAGGCGAAGTGCGAAGCCATTGATCTAAAAAATGATTGTTTATTCTCTTGCAAATAAAATTCATTTACACAAGAAAGTTTTTGCACTTAGTCTCGTTTTGAAAGTGAGAATTTTGGGGACTCGAAAAATGGCCTATTGCGTCTTCCCCTCAAGTTGACAATTGTTGGCTTGAAATGCTACTCCTTCAGGTGCCAAAATCTGGCAAAAAGGAAAATTGGATTGATACTGTTTTTTGATACTTTTCGCTCATGATTTGTAAAGGGTGCTGTCAGTAAACGTTTGCTTCTCCTCAGTTAAATTTTTCTGTGCTAAACTCTGAAATTATTTGAGACCTTACGATACACCTTTTGCGTGTATGGGTACGGATATATTAGCCGTACACGTAGCGGTAAATACGGGTAGATTGCCTCTTACCCGGCAAAAACGGGTAGGCTACCGGGTAGAATGATTGCGCCATTATCACATCTGGGAAATAGTGATTGCCTTTTATAAATTCACGAGATAAACATATGCTCGCTTACCCGTTCCCCTAGGCTGAAACGGTGTATCTTAAGTTCACTATTTTAACGATTTTGCATTTCAAGGACAATAGTAGTTACGACAACACAGCAGCATGAAGGTTAAATACTGACAAGAGACATGGCCTTGAAACAGCAAAACAGAAGAATAAAAGCCGACAAACGAAACAAAAATTGGTTGAAACTGCGACAGTGACGAAGGAAAGCGAGAAAAGAATTGTAAAAACCAACAGGGACATGGCTCCTTCCTCCTTAATACGCGAAAAGACAAGTTCTGAATTTCAGACAGGGAAATACAACGCGTCTCCCCCTAGCAGACAACAATTTTCTTACCACCAATCAGGAATGACAAATAAGAGCTTCTTATTAGAAATGGTGGTGACGTCATGGTTCCCGTGGCATCATCCCCAAGTGAAGCATTCTGCCACCTACAAGGCGTGGTTACATTACTGGAAGAGTCTACTAGCCAGTTTCCATGGTGACCAGATCTCGAGGGTGAATGATCTAAGTGACCTCCAAATATGGGCTGATGAACGAACGCAATGCCTTGTTTGGACCAATTGTCAGCGCCATGCTCAAAGGTAAAAATTGGGCAGTCTGAGGTTTATAGAAAAAATTAAGAAAAGAATATTACAATGGATCAAGCTTTTTGTTAGCAAGATTACTCAGTGCCCCCAATTTACCCCACCCACCCCAACCCTTCCACCCCTTCATGCAGCTGTTTCAATCCCATAAATGACCTTCTAACTTCTCATACTCGAACGATATCCAAATTGTTCTCTCATGGATGCCCTTATTCTTTTCTTTAGATGGCGTTTTGACTGTTCTCCAATGAAAGGCATTCTAACTGCTCTCTCACAAATGCCACTGGAGCTTCTCCTCTAGATGGCTATCTGCAGTTTCCCACACCTAGCAATCCACGAAATGCCTGTTTAAAGGTTTTGGGTACAAAGGAGGGTGTTAGCTCGGCTGCCTTCTCACGACCGCTAAAGACCGCGCGGGACTATTTGTGACGCGCTAGAGGAAACTCAGTGTTGCCCCACAGATGTCTTTTGATCCTTGCTCTCTTGACTCAGCCGCCGTTGTGTTCCTGTTTTCGCTTTCATCATAACATTCCGCTTAACAAAATTAAACAGCACCAATTAGAACCACAGCACTTAGACTATTGAGTGGTACTTGAAGTGAAGATAACTATCCTGTTCAGATACTAGGAAGGTCAAAATGAAAATTTTTTAAGTCTTCTTTTGGGCCTGTAACGATACCTCCAATTAAGAAATATAAGTGGTCTTTTATGCAGTAAAAAAGCCGCGAAGAGTTTTGAAACCAAGTGGTTGGTTCAATTTGTTGGGTACTAGACTGTGGAACGGTCGGGCCCCTGTTTAATTCCCAGGAAAAAGGTCTTCCTTTTGTTTCATATCTGAAAAAGGCTAGACTTTCTAGTCATCTCGTAAAACGACGAAAATACATAGGCCTCGCCTCACAAAACGTTCTCTTATCAGTGTCTTGGGGGACACTTCCCTGGAGGAGGGGATTAAACGGTCTAACCTGGTACCCTTTTTGACAAAAAAGGTACCCCATTCCGAATACCTCTCATTGACTGATGGCACATACCTAGTTACACAAGCTGCATCCCTTTTAACTGCTGCAAACTCACCGTCTTTTTAATATGGATAAATGATCAAACCAGGAATTTTTTTGTCTCTTTCATAGCCTTAAGAAAGGTCTGTTGGCCTTTTAGGCCCTTTTTACAGACCGCAATGACAGATTTCCCCACCCCTTTCATATATACTTCAACTACCCTTGAAATACCTGCCCAACCGTATACCTGATGCATGAAAAACTAAGCCTTTCGGGCAGAGTCTCACCGTGTAGTGGAGCTTTTAAGCTCCACTACACGGTGAGACTTAAAAGCAACGACGACGGCGACGGCGACGGCAACGAGAACGGCAAAAAAGCAATAGGTTTATATTTACAAAAACAACAACTTTGCACGTGCATCACGCTTTTTTTGTACATTTCTTAGCCGTCGTTGCACGACTACAAAGTGGATGTGCCTAATTTCACGTTTTGTCGAAGACGGGAACACAACATAAAAACAATCCTTTTCTTTTCCTGAACTTTGATACAGTTTTTTTAGAATTCAACTCCCAAAAACATTGCCATCATTTGACGAATTAAATGAGATGGAATAAGCGCGATACAGTTTGAGGCAGTGCGAATTTACTTTTTAAGTGACGTTTTCGTAGCCGTTGCCGTCGTTGTGGCTTAAGCTCTCTACTATCGGGAGAACGACTGGGAAAAGACCCACTACTAACGTAACAATCTCTGGCAGTGACACACCACTAGTAGCACTTTACTGGAGTCAAGTTCTTTTGTGTTGGCCTTGCTAAATTAATGTGCTTAAAGAACTCTAAATCTAAAGCCCCATTCACACCGAAGCTTAAACATGTTTTAAAGCTGTTTAAGTAAACACGGTTTGAATTTTCTTTCCCTCATAAAAGCTGCTAACTAACTTAAATTGATTGTAAATTTAATTCAAATTACAAAACGTCTTGAATTTCATTGAATCCTGTGTGAAACCCTGTGTTCCAGTTTTCCATGTCTGTTTTTCTTTTTTTTTAAACCTGGTTTAATTAAACATGTTTAGTTGGTGTGAATGGGGCATAAATCTAAACCTAAAACTTTAACGTCAGCAACATAAGTATGAAGGAAAAAGGAAGTCGGAACTGTAATTTGCCTCTTAGCTTTCTACCGTTCTGCATTTTATTTCCGTTTTAAAAAAATGAAAATCACCTAAACCAAATGAGATACAATTAAGGTTGATTGGATTTTAAACATCAGTTATCGTAAAAGCAAATTAAAGCTGTTAAAGTAAAGTGTAAGGAGCTACAAGGGTGATGTGAAAAGAGCTAATTCTTTGAGGATGTGTAGCAAAAATTTTCTTGCCTTTATTATTTCCCGATTTTTTTCACATCAAAATCGTTATGGTGACTATATATACCTTAATTAATTATCGAGCCATTAAAATGGCGGTGAAATAATTATTTGTTACCTTAAAAGATTTTACAAATACTGCATCAGTCTCAGAAACCGATTATCTTTGGGTTTTAGAGCATTTCTTAAAAACAGAAATTACGAAAGGGGTTACATAACGGCACTTGAGAATCTTTTGATTTGCTTTTTCAGTTTCAGTTTGACCAACCTCGGATCTCATTATATGAAAGACTCACGTTTGGATGTATCTTCACTTGAAGAAGGCTCTTGCTGCACAGTACTTGAGGGTACCAATAGATCGCCAAAAAAAAGATTGAAGAGAAAGATTTTGTAACATCTCAGCGACATCATTGAAGCTGTTTTGAGGTAAAAGTCTCAGAAAAAAATCAGCACTGAGTCTGATCGTAGCAAAATAAACCAAAACAGGGTCAGAGCGAATTCATCCGTTTTCGTTATTGATTTTTCAGTGGCATATGTCAGTCATGACCGAATCTATTGCCTGCTTTTTTCTTTTTCAATTTTAGCCCTGGCCTTGTTGACAGCGCACTTGAATGGTTCCTCGGTCTACGTCAATTAACCAGACCGGGAAGTACGTCAATTTTCATTCTAACATAAAAATTTAATTAATCCTGGCGACACACAGTGAAACTCTTAGAGGTTTTTGTCCATAGGATCATATTATGCTTTAGCGGAGGAAATATTGTAATCTCCCAGCACGATCACTATTTGTTCTTTTGCTGAGTAAGGGTGAAAAGAATAACAAACAGCAAAAAAACGCGCCAAAGATTGACATAACTTATGAAATCTGTAGAATGGGGCCATTTTGTTTCTGAGGACAATTTAGATAGTTGTATTTCTGTTGAAAATGCAAACATAGGCAGCTGTAGAAAATCTGAAAAGCTAGAGTCAAAGAGGGCTCAAAAATAGCGAAACCATGGGCAGTTTTAGGAACAAACTATACTGATTCAAACAATTAACGAAAATATTGGCTCTGTTTATACCCGAGACAAAACATCGTAATATAATTGGCGTCGACTTTGACACTGGTTTGAGACAGTTTTTCTCTCTTCTGAACTTTGGAAATTTCATTACCAGAAAAAAGAAAACTTGCTTCTATAAAAATTAAATAAGACAATAAAACCTTAAAAGAACCTGATTGTACCATGACAGTAGAATCTAAAAAATATAGGAGGCCCAACATGAACATTCATAATTTTGGATAGTCCACCAATTAACATTATTGCATTTATCTAAACGAGTTTTATCATTGTTTTTGCTTAGAATTTTTCGCCTTGGAACAATCTGGAACAAGATATTCTTGAAAACTCTATCCTTTGTGTTTCTGAGGGTTTTGAAAAAAATAAATAATAATAATACTCAGATACAAAGGGCGTCAAGGGGCTCCGGGATGGGGGAGGGGAGGGGGGGGTGGGGGAGTAGGTTAGGCCTGACAATTTAGTGTCTTTCGTGAATTTTCTTAAACCCCGTCTATAATTAATGGAAATAAAACTGAAACTGATCGGTACTCTTTTCAGCAATCAAATCCGAAAAACCACACCCTGTTTAAGGAAAAACGGGCAATCAGCATTGCGTTTTTTTATTTCTTTTTACTCCCAGTGACGTTGATATCGTTTTCTTCCGGCGTCTTGTTTTCAAATGTGTTCATGGGTGGTTTAGGGATTTATGTCCTGCGATTTAACTAGCATAATGTTAAGGAGCCCTATTGATCACACAGCCAATAAGACAAGCTAATTAAGGACTGAACACCTCGAAAACCCTTCCCCAGTCTGCGGCACATACATAAGGTGCGGTTAAACGGGACACTTTGACCGTGGTAAATGACCCTTTTAACGCGGGAAATTGTGTCAGTGCGTGTGACCCGACTTTCCTGAGGTAAATTTCCCAAATCAATCAATCAATCAAGCTTGATTCCCGTATTAAATATAGATGGATAGGTAAAAAAGAAAGCGCACATGATATTTAACGTCGTAATTAGCAAGGGTTTTTTGCTGCTCACGGTAAGACAGGCAATCACGAAGCTCATCATCTGAAGGGCCTAACTAGCGCCTTTCTTTCCAACAACACCAAAAGAATAGAACGTTGCACTATTCTGTAAGTTACTATTTCAAAATTGTCTTCAGAAAAACACTTGAAATCATTTGCTTACATGCCCGATAATTTGAGCAAACGTTTGTATTTTTTTGCAAGGCAAATTCACTCGCTTGTTCACTTGATTCTGAAATTTCAGAAATACAACATGGGCTACCCGTTTTTTTTTTTTATCCTCGATGTCAACAGTTTTTATGAAACCGAAAATCCCACTCGCTGTGAAAGTCCTTCAAGTGTTTCCCGGGAAAATAATTGCGTGAAAACGGAATTCAACCGAGGTAAATAAAGTTACGTATAACCGCAAGTCACCTTGGAAAAGTAGACCTGAGTAAAAATTTACCGCGGCAAATTTACAACGGCAAAGACCTTTTACCATGGTATGTGTAACCGCACTCATAATATAACCGGAAGTCCCACACTCATCTCTGGTCAACAAGCACAATCTGTATCGAAGAATCACGATAACCTATTTAAGGACTGAGCACTTCAAATCTCTTCCCTGTTCTGCAGCACATACATAATATAGCCGGAGCACATGTCGACGTCCCACCCCCTTCTCGTGTCAACTAGCACAATCTTAAGGAGCTCTACTGAAAGAATCAAAGAGCCAACAAGAGATACCCTATTAAGGGCTGACAAGCACCTCAAAAACCCTTACTCTACTCTGCAGCACATTCATAATATAGGGGGAGTTCGAACCCTTCTCGGGTCAACTAGCACAATCCTCAAGGCGATCTATCGAAGAATCACACAGCCAATAAGAAATACCCTATTTAATAATCTGAGCACCTCGAAAACCCCTACCCTGTTCTGCAGCACATATAAGACAATACAGCCGAATTACATGTGTGAGCTCCACCCACTTCTCAGGTCAAGGGTGGTCAAACGTAACATATATTTTATTATTCTTCTATAATTTTATAATATACTGGCTGGGGGAAAAATTTGTTTAATATGAAACAGTGATTTTTTCTTTTGGACGTTCATGTAATTTCTTCGCTAACGTTAACGTAAGGCGGATAAGGACGCGCAGGGGTAACAACTAACAAAATGAATTAGGTACAGCTCCTTTGAAAACCTTAATCAAAACCTGATCTCCGAGAACAACAGGAAAAAGATGAGAAGGGACGGGCAAGCTGAGCGTTAGCGGCTACTAAATGCACTTTCACTGATGCTACCCTAATAAAAACAAATCTAAAACGATTATTAAACTAAATATTAAAAAGCTATATAACATCGCATTATGAATTCAGCATTTACTTGTTATTTATTTTTTTTGGCTTAAAATAAACGTCGATAACCTGGGGGCGCTCACTCCGACGCGTCTATGACTTTTATTCTAGAAAGTACGGTACTTGCATCAAAACTAAACGGATATAATTAACATTGTACAAACATTATACGAGGAAACGAGTCACGAAAGCATTCTCGTTATACTATAGGGAAAAAAAAAAAGAATAAACATAACTTTTGCCATTTTTTTCTACACTGGACTACTATGACCATCAAATTAAAAAGTGTCTGTAAAATGGCTTAAATGCGGATTTAGTGAACGGAGTAAACTGGCATCACACAGCACAGTATATTGTTCCAGGAAAGTATTGCTTAGTGCTAGCAACTCGGCTAATATTCGGGCAGTAAGTGCGCGGAATTATAGTTTTCTTGCATACATAGACTCGAACGTTTGAACAACCTTGATCACGTAATAAACAGCAAAAACTCAAAAGTATACTTTCAAAGTAGAGAATACCAAATGAATGCTCACGAAATTTGTTTTAAACACTTATGACACGCTGGAAAGTGCCACCTTTCGGGGCACTAACTTCCCAGTCTACTTGATTAATCATAAATATACTAAAACTTTAAACCAAATCATTTTAAAAAAGAATCAGCTCAAGGAATAAACTTGAGTGTGTTTATTCAACTTTGCATTGCTTGGTCTTGTTTTATATCGGTTCGAGTCCGTTTTAATTTAATCATTTTTTCACCGTTCTTTTTAGTAGCAAATGATGGATGTCTTCGAAAATTCTAGATTCTCTTTTCTACGTTTTATCATCAACGTTTATACCACATTTTCTTTACATACAGGTCTTTAGTTTTATTATTATTCCTCAACTGCTAAGCAAAATTCTCAGTAACTTGTGATTCCTGTCCAAGCTTGGATGTTCCTTTTAAAAAATTCCTTTTTCTTGCTTGCTGGTACCTCATTTTTTTCTTATACGTCTTTTCTGTTACAGTTATTTGTTTTGCTAACAGATTCTGATTAGGAATATTCGCCAATGGATTCAATAAATTCATGTTTAAGAAATTTGCTTTAGGCTCGTGATTCGGCATATCCCTAGTGATTTACCGATTAAGCTTGGCACCAAACTGCCTTTGTTTTTCATAAGTTAATTAAAAAATTAATTTCGGCTTAATTGCTGACTCTATTGATAACTGGATTTATTGCTGTATACTCCATCTAAATCATTTCTTGTTCACAGCTGCCAGAAAACATTCTAGACCACTGGCGACATTTCAGTGAAAACATCTTTTTCGTGTTGTATGTTAAAAGCAAAACGTTGAGTAGAAAACTGACATCTGACTTTCCTTCATCCGTTGTTTTACAGAGAAGATAGACAAAACGACTCTTTTCTTATACTATTTTTACGTGCTATTGATTGTGAATTCATATTTTTAATGTCCTATTTTGCTACTTTATTTTTGGGCGTTATTCTTATTAAATTTCTACACTTTACGTCTATTAATAGAAGTATGTTAAGGGGAAAATTACCGACAAGTATAATATTATTTTTACCAAAATTAATAAGACATGAATATAAATCAGGAACTATAAGTGGACGGCCACAAAAAATGTAAAATACTTAATTCAGCAACGTGAAAAACATAAAGTAACCTTTTACAAATTAATGCTGTCTTACCAGAATAACCAAACACTAGGCCTTGTATTACCTGTTAAAACAAAAAAAACGTCAGTCACCTTTGCCGTTGAAAATTTGATGAATATTCTTCATACAGAAGAAACCCGATTTTTCAAACCATTCGAAAAGCGAATTGGCTAGAATTATCGAGAGTTAGAAAAATCAGGGGTAAAGAAGTTAGTTTTGGTTCAATTTATCTGGAGTTTCTAAAAACCGAAGATTCGAAAAGTCGGGATCCTGTACTGTACATGTCAGGTTGTAATAGTCGTACATATGCAGACTGATAATAACTGCATTAAAATTTTCGTAACTTGTATTTTTTTTCTCATTCCCTTATCAACTTCACAGTTCACAGTTCTGTTATTGTACAGTCGATCGATTCTCTGTTGGAAACGGACACCTCTGTAAGACCGAGTTGACTGGATACTTTTTCCTGCATCTTTCCAATAAATAATGGCTATAAAAATGTTTTCATGTTCTTTTAATAAACAAATGATAATGATGATGATGATGATTTTTCAAACAACTGTATTTAACAAGTTGAAGCATATCAACTTTTAAGGAAAGCTAACGTTTGGTCTTCGGATAGCGTCAAAATAAATGAAGTGAAAAATTACTCCTCATTTTCTCAAAAACACCGAGTCCAACAAAAGGCCTCCTTCACTCTTAGCTTAAGTTCCAGGTCGACTCTTAGAGTCAAAACTGCAGTTAGTGACTGCCCAAAATGACAAGATTATAGGGCCGCTTGCGAGAAGTGCCAGCTCTAGAATTGACTATGACAGATGATTATACTAAGAGAGTTCTTATAAACAAACTTTGGGCATGTAGAGAGACTCAATTTTAAATTCACTAATGGGTTAAAATGTCACGAAATTGAACTGGTACCTGGCTGATTATCAATACCGCTTATTACAACTCCAGTGTCAGGCCGCATTGCATTGTGGGACCTTGGTATTTAAAAATCTGCCTCATACGACTCATACGAATAAAATATGCCATTCAGTAGTTAATTCTTCATTTTGTATTTTAAATTACCCTTTAATTACATGGCCGTCGGATGGCAAAATGAAGAAGTAGTCTTTTCGGACCAAATTTAAACTTCCTTTGCCACTGATCATTTTGACGCCTGGCAAATTTGTCGTGGATGAAGGTCTTAAACACACTAGATTAGTACTTGTTAGTCAAGATTTTAAGCGATGTTGAAAATAGTACTACGGTTCAGATAACGATTTTGTTTTCAGAGCAATACACTCGGATCTAAGCGTTTAATTTTCAATATCTCACAAGATTATTCTTGCATAGAATTTATCGATATAGCTCGCGAGAGAATTTAACATTTTATGTCAATAAAAAACCTGTTATTTTGCTCGTTGGAGCAGCATTGTTTTCAGTTTAATTTATGAAATATTGTCTTGTTCTTACCTTTAATATCTAGATTTTTTTCAATCGTAATATTTGCATTTCTAAAATGCGGAAGAACTTCAAAAGAGCTACCGTGCGTACTTTTCAATTCTGACACCATAAGGTCTCTTAACTTTTAGAAGAACGCACTTGAATGTTTGTTTCCCTGATCACCAGGAGATCCCATGGCCTGCTTTTTCGAAAGTCGCTTAAACTCTATGATTACCATTCATTTATTATATACATGAAAGTAGGATATTGCATGGTTTCAGCTATGGAACTCGGCGTCGTGGAACTTCTTTTAGTGATCTGACAGACTCGTAACTTAGACTGTATTATCTGACTTCCCATAGTTTGAAATGAAGAGACTACTGCGTTAAATTTAAGTCCATGATAAACCTGGTTTTAACTCGCAAAATCGAACATAACATTGACTGTCTGAGTAACGTGGTCTAAGTTTGGATGAAATGTTAACTTCATTTTGCAAAGAATAAAATCTTTAATGCAATGTGGTAAAAAAAATCGTATTTTCCTGTGTTTTAGCCTGTTTTGTCTTGTTTGAAGATATAAGTGACAAACTGCATTTTCAGATATTGAATGCCTATATCCTTTGGTAGTGAATTGCAAAAAGTGCAAACCGATTACTTACCGTGAATGCAAGAAATCCAAAGAAAATTGCAGCCATTTTGAAATGAACAGTATGCGGGCTGATCCAGACTTTGTCGGGTGCTGTAATAAAGGGGCTCCGGTGCCGTGAAATCGAACCTTCAAAAAACCTTTTGAGGTTTATTGCAACTGAACTGGGCGCAAGTTTCTAACTGCGGAAGGATGAATAATCATTCGCAAACATGCCACTTTTGATGTCAGCGAAACACGCAAACAGGAATCTGTAATGCCAGCGATAACTTCAATTATTTTGTTTTCCTAGGGTGGCGGATATTTCCCGCTTAAAGACCCCGTATTGTGAATATAGCAATTGCGACGCTATAGTTAATGAAATATCGGATGATCACGCCTTTAAGGGCTTCGACGCTAAAGTTGTATCGTTTCGATTATATAATAAAACAAAATCACGCGTTCGTGGAATAATCCTTTGTGTATTTAACGAATTAAATAATTTATCGCTTAAAATAATGTAGCCACCAGCTTTTTTAAGTTACGCTTTAGCTGGAGTCACGGATCAACGTGATCGAAGTCACAATTTCTCTCTTCATCATCATCATCATCCTTCCTTATGCACAATTCATTTGAAAACACGATAATGCTTTTTCAGAGGTTATCTTAAACTAATCTTAGTAGGTTTTATTTGTAAACTCTCAAAAATTGCTTCAACTCAAATAAAAACACTCCACTGAGATCTTTTAACCAACTGCCGGGCAAAAAGCAATATCAAACTGGCGCGTATAATAGATACGGGGGCTAATTGTTCGAGAATAATAGTAAGTGAAACAATGCAAATGGTTATCACAGACTGGCTGGCCGTACACACTGTGCAACTACAATTAACTCTTCAAGTGACTTAAGTGGTGAAAAGTAAAAGGTCGCTTGATATTTTCGCTACAGGAAAATGCTTTTAAAACTTTTAAACAATCTCTTCAGAAAACTATATAGAGNCTTTTGGTAGATAGCTGAAAGCGACCGTTCTAAAAGATGCAATTTTCTTTTTCGCTTCCATCAATTATTAAACCATGTTTTCGTTTGAAAATTAATTGTTCCCATTTATCAATTATCACGATATATTGCCTTTAATGACCAAGCCAACTTATCGGCTCGTGCATCAAACATTCCCTTTTATTCGTCTAAAAAGCCATGAAGCTTCTACACGATTTTTGGATGATGACGAGATCGACGTAAGTCTCTCTTTCTTTCGTTCACGTGACAAAGGGGCAAAGTACATCATCCTAACATCCTAAGCAGGTGGATACATTGACTGCGTAGCACGTCCGTGACAATTTGCTATTTCCTTTGCAGTAGTTCAGGAATCATATGCTTGCAATCTAGTATGAATAGATTCTTTGGGTTGCCCATCAAAAGAAAATAGTTGTGCAATTACTCTTAACGAAAGAAACTCCACCTTTTGAGCAGGGCACCTTAATTTAATCTTCCTAAATAAGACGGGAAGCCCTTCCTCTTCCCGACTTATAAGATCGAAGGGTATCTGCTCAAAGGGTATAAAAACCCACCCACGTTCCTTTTTCAGTGACATAATATGAGTTCCGAAATAGTTTGATAGCAGCCCAGCAGGCGAGCATTTCTTATTAAACTGTTGTTAGAATATACGAACTCTACTTGGAAAACATCGGAAACCCTGGCCGGAAACTGAAACTAGTTTTGCTTAGTGACATAGCTCACTCGGGGGATTGAGAAAAGACAGCTGAATGAGTGGGAAAAGGAACAAAGCATGTCGAACCTGTTGAGTGTAACCTCCATTGAGGAACCACCTATTAAGCGGCCACCCTCCGTTAAGCGGCCAGTCATCAAAGTCCTGGAATAAAGGTAGATAATAATGGGAAATTAAACCTCTATTAAGCGGTTACCTCTTTTAAGCGACCAGGGCCAGCTTTTTGCCGTCCCAACGAGAGCTTTCTCATTGTTGTCACCTCTATTAAGCGGCCGTCAAGCGCTTGTTTGGCTTTATTTCAAGGCTATGATGAAGGAAAACAGTCCGAGATAGAAGGTGACGAGCGATCGTGGACCAGTATTCCTGCCCCCGTCGCGTGTTTGTTTTAAAATAATGCGATGTTTCTGCTAAAGATTATGCGAATATATGACCCGGTTTATAACGAACCTCTATTGAGCAGCCAACCTCCATTAAGCGGCCACTAGCCGGTACTCCGAGGGTGGCCGCATGGAGGTTGTAGTTTATTTGTTGATTAGATATACTCCTACCTTTTCCCTTGTATTTTCTTTTCTTTTACAGTTAATTACTACATTTAATTTATTTGACATTAAATAACGGGCAGGTTACCATTGTTTCCTGTGTGTGCTTTAAAACAAATTATACAAAGACCTTCCCATCCACCTATGTCACTGACTGACAAAAACATCTTTCTTATGTATTTACCAAGCTTAAACTTCACTATCACATTTCTATCATTGCCCATAACCACCTAACGACATTCCAGTCCCAGCAGTATGCCGGGCCCAGTTGCTTAAAGGCCGATTAGCACTAACTCGCGGTTAAATTTTAATCGGAGTTTCTTTTTCTGCTTTCTACAAGCGTTTTCTCGGATAATTTTCTCCATTCTTTTTAGAACAACCAATCATTAAATTTTACACAAAATAAATTACACTGAATTGGCCTTTAGTCTTTTACGTAATATATCAAACATGAGAAGCAGTGTTTCATCACCAGATGAAACACCGAGAAGAGAGTTGAAAATACGACGCGTAGCGGAGTATTTTTGACGAACTTCGAGGTGTTTCATCTGGTGATGAAACACTGTGTCGAATGTTTGATATTTCTTCTTACACACTGTGCAACTACAATTAACTCTTCAAGTGACTTAAGTGGTGAAAAGTAAAAGGTCGCTTGATATTTTCGCTACAGGAAAATGCTTTTAAAACTTTTAAACAATCTCTTCAGAAAACTATATAGAGTCACAATCGTCGATCAATACCATAACAAGGTTGTAAAATATAATATTTATACTGGCATAAAGCAATCAGTTTTACGAGGCGGATTTAATGAGACATTTTAAAGTAGGTGTTTTAGTTTGGAGACGGTTGTATTAAGTACAATATCGCTGTAAAATAAAGTCACGGAGCAAATTAATTTTCCGAACCGACTAAGGCCTCATACCATAGGACTATTAGAAAAGGTTATGATTAGGGATTTGATGATTGTTATGAGATAAAAGTTGAAGTGAGTTGTTAGTATGGAGCGTTTACACTCACATGACTAGCAGCTATGCAAATCCATGCCCACCTGCCCCTCCCCTAAGCGAATATTAACACTTACTTCTCACTTGGGGCAAAATGTTGGTTAAGGGGAGGGGTAGATGGGCAGTAACGTATAATGATCCGAGAGTTTTAACACAAGAAAAAGGTCAGCTCCCACACCACTGGTTGGATTACCAGCAGGGCCGCAGTTTTATTCATTGGGACCCCAATACGGCGGACGTGAAATAATGGGAAAACGCTCCATAAAGTCAGTGAATGTTTCCAGTTGATGTCAAAGGAGAACTTTCTAGTAAACCGGTATTCTAAGTCATAGTTATTAATAATCAACGAAATGAAACTTCAGTGAGATCATTGAAGGCTTGAACAAAAAAGAAATGTCGACACGTCACGTACAGCTTTAGATCCCAAGTTTGAAACTTAGGATTAACAGAAACTTGGATATTTTTCCATTGTTTTGGGGTATGGTAATGTATGCTAATAAATTTTTAAATAAAGGAAAAACAAAAATTAACTGAAATAAAAAAAAATAACTGCAACATATACATATCATATACATAAGTTTAAGTAGCTTTTTCAACGCTACTCCCAGCTTAGGTCGAAATACAACTAGCTTTTCCAAGGGGGAAAGTTTCAAACTATCTTGCGCTGGATCTCACTAAGTATCCAGCTAGATGCTTGACAAATCGTTAACAACAGGATAGCTGAAAACTAATTTTAACGCAAACCTCTCTGATATTCTGATAACACTTATAGTTATAGCGTTCTCACACCCGCGTAATATACATATCCATACATACTAGTAACAGCATGGCTTAGAGCGGGCTGCAATGATTCCACGCCGACGATCACTATAAACCATTGGGCTATATTAATTGCCTCGAACTGAGACTCGTCTACTCTAATATCGCATAATTCAGCAGGGAGTTCTTTTAGACTCACCCGACAAATTAGGGATGCAAAAAATAACTTTAATCATACGCCGATGTCACACATAAAAGTTAGAAACACTTAAGAGGGTCTTATAAAATGAAAAAATTGAAATACAGCTAGTTCTCTCTAAGACAGGCACCATTTTTAGTCGACAAAGAATAGAAAAAATCATTGAAAGAAAATCAATTTGTCGTCAGGAACTCTGCGTATAAAATTCGTTTAAAGGCCTATTTTGTAAAACTTTTGGTAGATAGCTGAAAGCGACCGTTCTCAAAGATGCAATTTTCTTTTTCGCTTCCATCAATTATTAAACCATGTTTTCGTTTGAAAATTAATTGTTCCCATTTATCAATTAATTATCACGATATATTGCCTTTAATGACCAAGCCAGCTTATCGGCTCGTGCATCAAACATTCCCTTTTATTCGTCTAAAAAGCCATGAAGCTTCTACACGATTTTTGGATGATGACGAGATCGACGTAAGTCTCTCTTTCTTTCGTTCACGTGACAAAGGGGCAAAGTACATCATCCTAACTTCCTAAGCAGGTGGATACATTGACTGCGTAGCACGTCCGTGACAATTTGCTATTTCCTTTGCAGTAGTTCAGGAATCGTATGCTTGCAATCTAGTATGAATAGATTCTTTGAGTTGCCCATCAAAAGAAAATAGTTGTGGAATTACTCTTAACGAAAGAAACTCCACCTTTTGAGCAGGGGACCTTAATTTAATCTTCCTAAATAAGACGGGAAGCCCTACCTCTTCCCGACTTATAAGTTATAAGATCGAAGGGTATCTGCTCAAAGGGTATAAAAACCCACCCACGTTCCTTTTTCAGTGACATAATACGAGTTCCGAAATAGTTTGATAGCACCCCAGCAGAGGAGCATTTCTTAAACTGTTGTTAGAATATACGAACTCTACTTGGAAAACATCGGAAACCCTGGCCGGAAACTGAAATTAGTTTTTCTTAGTGACATAGCTCACTCAGGGGCACCCAACGAGAATATAGTTCAAAACCACTTAAACATAGCATTGTTCAACGTATTTTAGTATTTAAACGGTAGATATAGGCATATTTTTATCCCCTAAAAATTTTTCATCTGTTCGGATTTCCCAGCTGAAAGTCTCGAGATCCGAAAATCATAAACTTACCTTTTCGAAAATTTCAGCCAGAAAAAAGGCTCCCGAAAATTCTAGGCGAGCTTTTTAGGGTAAAAATCCGTTAAAAATGGGCAATTACACTAATTTTTAGATGTTCGAAAATCCTAGGAGAGGTAGGCAAGCAAGAAGTTTTACAAAAATTGTCCGAAAATTCTAGATCTCAAATCGTCTTCCGAACAGATATTTTCCGAAAATTGACGTTGGGTGCCCCTGCTCACTCGGGGGATTGAGAAAAGACAGCTGAATGAGCGGGAAAAGGAAAAAAGCGTGTCGAACATGTTGAGTGTAACCTCCATTGAGGAGCCGAGCCACCTTTTAAGCGGCACCCTCCATTAAGCGGCCAGTAATCAAAGTCCCGAAATAATTGTAGAAAAGAATGGGAAATTAAACCTCTATTAAGCGACCGGGGCTACATTTTTGCCGTCCCAACGAGAGCTTTCGCATTGTTGTCACCTCTATTAAGCGGCCGTCAAGCGCTTGATACACTTCTGTAGTTTCGCTTTATTTCAAGGCTATGATGAAGGAAAACAGTCCGAGATAGAGGATGACGACCGACTGTGGACCAGTATTGCTGCCCCCGTCGCGTGTTTGTTTTAAAATAATGCGATGTTTCTACTATAAGATTATGCGAATTTATGACCCGGTTTATAACGAACCTCTATTGAGCAGCCAACCACCATCAAGCGGCCACTTGCCGGTACCCTGAGGGTGGCCGCATGGAGGTTGTAGTTTATTTGTGGATTAGATATACTCCTACGTTTTCCCTTGTATTTTCTTTTCTTTTACAGTTAATTACTACATTATTAGACATTGGGTTTGCATAATGATGGCGGCGTGACGTGACTGTTTGATTTCCGTTTGAATTGAAATATACAATCGTTTGAATTGAAATCTACAATCTGCGATTATGCCTACCGATCATCTAAGTATAACTTTCTGCACTTTTAATTTTCCTGTCTCTGTTATAAGCTAATTAAATGTCTACGCCAGTTAGTTGCACGTGGCAGTGACCAACTCGTGAGCCTAAGCTCCTTTGGTCACTGCGCACCTTCCACCATTGATGATTTACGTAATTTAATGTTGTTTTATTTTACTTTTGTTACGTATTGTAATTTTTTTTTGTAGTAAACTATTGATATAGTGCAATAAATAAAAATCTGAAAAATCCGAATCTGACATCAAATAACGGGCAGGTTAAAAATAGGGCCATTTATACGAGGAAAAATAAGACGCGAACTTTCCGTATAAACGGCACATTTCGTCTAAAATAAGACGCGGCTTAGCTAAGACGCGTCTTATTTTAGACGAAATGTGCCGTTTATACGGAAAGTTCGCGTCTTATTTTTCCTCGTATAAATGGCCCTATTGTTTCTTGAGTTTTAAAGTGTGTTTTGTTTAAAACAAATTACACAAATTAAAGGTCTTCCGAGCTGCCTTTGTCACTGACTGAGAAAAGCATCTTTCTCATGTATTCACCAAGCAAAAAATTCACCATCACATTTCTATCATTGCGCATAAGCACATAACGACATTCCAGTCCCAGCAGTATGCCCGGCCCAGTTTCTCAAAGGCCGATTAGTACTAGCTCAGGGTTAAATTTTAATCGGATTTTCTTTTTTCTGCCTGTTTGGACTGCCAAGACTTTGGACTGACCATTAGCCTAAAGGAAAAACAGGTCATGTCTCAGGATGTGCGCTCACCTCCCAACATTACAATCGACAAACATGAACTGGATGTTGTTCATGACTTCGTTTACATTAGCTCGACGATCTCTGATACTCTTTCTCTGGACTCTGAGCTTAACAGGCGCATCGGCAACGAAGCTACTTCCACCCCAGTCTTACCACGCAAAATACGCAGATCCAGGTCTACAGAGCACGTTGTTGTACGGCAGCGAGTCCTGGGCTCTTAACGCACGACAAGGAGCGGAAGGTTAACACTTTCCACATGCGCTGTCTCCGACGCAAACTCAACATCACCTGGCAGGGCAAAGTTCCAAACAACACAGTCCTGGAGAAAGCTGAAACTCTCCGCATGTATACACTACTGAAACAAAAAAGTTTGTGCTGGCTTGCCAATGTTGTTAGAATAGATGACGGCCGGTTCCCAAAGGATCTGCTTTACGGAGAATTAGCTCAAGGAAAGCAGCCGACTGGCAGGCCCCAATTATGCTACACAGATGTCTACAAGAGGGACCTGAACGCCTTGGACATTTTGACCTCAACGGATGAAAAACATTGGCTTCAGAACGTTCAGCTTGGAGGCAGGCATGCAGTGCAGCGTGGCCTCTCCGAGTCTGAAGAGACACTTGCCGAAATGGCTGAGACAAAGAGGCGAACGAGGAAGGCAGGGAGATAGACCAGCAACTGACCACATCTGTTAACTGTGCTGAAGGGACTGTAATTCCCGAATTGGTTTTTCCATTCTCACAAGGCGCTATTCCAGGACCACCAGTGAGAGCGCGACATAATAGCTTAACGCTATACCGGTATTCCTCGCTGAGCCTCGCCATATGTGAATTTTCCTAATGAGTGTTAATGATTTGGTTAAGTGATCCATGTGGGCAGAGCCTAGGGAATCGGTGAAATCACCAAAGCGAGAAACACCTTGACGATAGTTTTGCGCCCCTTACAGGGGACAGGAATGTCGCGATGTTTCCACAACGTTTCCTGCTTTTTAAGGCTGATAATCACAGCATAAGAGACAGTGCACAGAAAAAAATAACGTTGGAGAGAAGAGACCATAAAGGGTCTCTTAGTTGGATAAAACAAAGCGACAGCAAACCTGGACGATGGTTCATTGTCGCACACTTACAGCAGGACATAGCCTGTGTAGCAGGCACTTGGAAGTAGTGGGCGAAAGAAAGAACGGGCGCGCGCGAGGGAGACATGCGGGGGGTGTCTCCTTCTCGCGCGCCCGTTTTTTTTTTTTTGCCCACTACTTCCAAGCGCCTGCTACGCAGGCTAAGCAGGAGAGGAATGTCACGATGTTTCCAGAACGTTCCAGCATAGGAGACAGTGCACAAGAAAGAATTACCTTGGAAGAAGACCAAAAAGGGTCTCTCAGTTCTAGTTGGATAAAAACTGCGACAATAGATCTGGACGATGGTCAGTTTCGCCACTTACAGCGGCAGACGAATATCGCAATGTTTCGGTGTTTCCAAATTGTTTGCAGCTCTTTTAAGGCTGATAATTCCAGCATAAGAGACCGTGTACAAGAAAAACAAAATACGAAGATAAAGAAATGATCGTCGCAGTGAACGCAATTTATGCAATTGCATAAAGAAGCCTGAAAAAAATTCAAGACTTCAACGGGGTTTGAACCCGTGACCTCCTGATACCGGTGCGATGCTCTACCAACTGAGCTATGAAGCCACTGACGTTGGGAGCAGGTCAATTGTGGGTTCATATGTTCCCGTGAAAGAAATGAGTGTTAATGATATATGAAATAAATCATATATGAACTGCGGAAATGAAATGAAGATGAAGAAATGATCGTCGCAGTGAACGCAATTTATGCAATTGCGTAAAGAAAAGTACGTTGACTATTGCGAAGAAATAAATAATTTTCTTTGAATGTTGTTTGAGTCACTACTCGAACGACCCGCCCCATTTTACTTATCTATCGGGCGGGTATTTTATCTTACCACTAAAAGATATCCTATTCGTTACATGAACAAACCAAGCAGATGGAGATTCGTCTTGAGCGACTGGTACTGGTAGGTCGTATGAAGATAGAAAACTTTAATCTTCTCTTCCTGACTCACAATCGTTCAGTACTGGGCTTTTAAACGGAGAGGTACATCTGAGATGGCCTGGCCCTTGGACTAATAAGGATACTGCCCTGCCTAGTTAAGGCTTTTAAGCTAAGGGGTCTACTTAAAGTGGCGAGCGTAGGGCTTGCAATCTCGGCTGGCCAATTAATACTTGTAAATATCCGATGGTGTCGCAATGTAATGACGTCATCGATAAATTCGAACAGCATTGTTTTGACTGTTTTTTGCGGCCGTTTTGGCGATCAAGAAATGCTTTTGGCAATTACTTTCGATTGCTAAAGCAGTAGCGGATCCAGACCTTCAGATAAGGGGGAGACCCGGTCATCCAGACCCTGAAATAAGGGAGGCCCGATCTCAAAAAACTTTTTTCGACCCTTCGAGCCTCAGTTTGGTCTAAAAATAAGGGGGAACCGGGGGCCCCTCCCATGGATCCGCCACTGTAAAGCATTTTATATACAACAATGAAGCGATTTGGAGCAATAGGTTCAAATTAATAAAAGCAAATATCGAGATAACAGAACATTTGTCAATACGTCTCACTTCGTAGCCTGCGTTGCAGCCGGCCCACGCACTCGCCAAAACCATTTGTATACAGAAGGTTTAGAGCGTCTGCGACTCAGGCAACTCACTTCGCGGACGATTTCGCTTTGGGGTGTAAATTGCCGATTTTGGTCTCACTTAGGGTGTTTTGGGATGGAAAGTTACTGTATTTGTCCATTCAGGTACTGCTTAGTACTGTGCTTCAAGAAAATTACAAAAAATGCCCTGACGCTGACCACACAGAAATCTCCCTTAGGGGTCAGTCTAAGCTTCAGCCACACCCACATTGGTCTCCCTTAGGGGTTTAACTTGAATTTTGCGACGAGCATTCCCGTCACTTTTATAAGGGAGTG